AATTCTTAAATTTAACAACTCTACTTTTTCCTGTGTGTTTGCTCATTCATTTCTCCCATGTATTTATTAGTGTATGAGTAGTTTATAATAACCTTCCTAACTTGATTCTGATGTTTATATTCTCACATATATTTTGCTTTCTTGTTCTGGCAGATATTAAAGCCTGTTACTACGAATCTGGATTTTTTTTCTTAAATTTTAACTTTTGATCTACATGTTTTGATTTAATGATAACTGATACATAAAAGATTCATTATAAATTTATACTGATCTTTGGCTGGACATGGTTGGTGATGCACACCTGTAATCCTATAACCCCAGCACTCAGGAGCCTAGGGCATTAGGATCACTGTGAGTTCAAGGCTAGCCTGGGCTACAAAGTCAGTTCAAGGCCAGCCAGAATTTCATAGTGCACTTGTCTGAAAAAAGGCAAGAAAAGGAACAAAACAAAACAAAAACTCTTGATTTTTAATATGGAATGACCTCTAGTTCTCCATTAATACATTTTTGCCTTGAAAATTTGGCTTTGTCTCATATTAATGGTAAAATGCATGTTTTACTGACATAATTTTGTCTCTACTTTTAACACTTATAACAGCTTTTGTTTTTGTTGAGTCTAGGTGTCACCGTGTAGTTGAGGCTGGCCTCGACCTCACAGCGATCCTCTTGCCTCAGTCTCCCAAGTGCTGGGATTACAGGCATGTGCCACCATACCCAGCTGTAACATCTTTTTACTGAGATAAGCTTTATTCTGCATGATGGTATAAACTGTACAATGTTTCCTAAGGGCTTTCACAACTTACAAATTTAATGGCTTAAAGCCACACAAACCTATTTTTTTGGTTTTACTGATCTAAAGTCAAGGCTGCTGGTTGACTGGAGACTCTGGCAAGAGCCTGTTCCCTTGCCTGGTCTAGCTTCTGCTTAGTCTGTATACCCTAGTTCCCAACTCTTCCTGGTAGGTATCTTTTTATATCCACCAATACATAATATTTACATATCAATTTCCTTTTATCTATCTCTTATAAAGATACTTGTGATTATATTTAGGACTTACTTAATCTCCCCATTTTGAGATTTGTAATTTCACCATGTCTGCAAAATTCCTTTTTACCACACAGAGTAAAATTCACAGATTCCAGGGTTAGGACCAGGGTTACGTTTGGGGGCCATTATTCAATTTATCAAACCATTTAGTTCAAGAGTACAATTCAAAACCCAGAGATTTAGCTCAATGGCGTAAGCACCTGCCTGGCAAATGCTGAGGTTGTGAGTTCAATTCCCGGTACCAAAAAAATAAAATAAAGTGTACAATTCAGTGTATCAGAGAGCCCTACAATCACCGCCACAATTATCATTTTAGAACATTTTTATCCTCTACTAAAGAAATCTTGCATCTTCTGCCTGTCACTGTCATTCTTCCCTCCGTTTTCCCAAACTCCTAACAACTACAAATCTACAATGTATACAGATTTGCTACAATGCATCTAAATACAATCACATCTTTATTTGTTTTTGTAATGTTGGGGAAATATCTTGTCTTTTGTGACTAGGTTCTTTCCTTAGCACAATGTTTTCAAGGTTCATCCACAATACAGTATATTTCCATAGTTCATTCTTGAGTAGCTATAGCACATTTTTATTCACTCATCCATTGGTGGACATTTGGGTAGTCACCACTTTTTGACTACTGTGACTAATTCTGCTATGAACACTGTATGCAAGTTTGAGTGTGAACAGGTCTTGAGTTCTCTTGAGTATAACTTAGGAGTAAAATGCTGGGTCAAATGATAATTCTACTTTTAACATTCTGAGAAACGCCAAACTACTTTCCAAAGAAACTACACTATTTCATAATTTCAACAGCAATGCGTAACTTCTTCACATCCTCACTATTAAGGTTTATATCTAGATGTGTCCCCCCACAAAGTCTCATGTGCACACAGGTGGAACTTTGGGGAGATGACTGGATCATGGAGTTGAAACACTCATCAGTGGATTCATCTGCTGATGAGTTTAGGGCTAAATGTGAAACTGTGGGGTGAAGCCTGGGCAATGGAGAGGTCACTGCAGCATGGCCTGCAGGGGTGTATCTCTTCCCCACTCTTCTGTCACCTTCTCTCCACTTCCCACTGCAATGCCACCAGCAGCTCCCTTTGTGCTGCCACCCTGCCTAAGACCCAGCCAACAATGGAATAAATTCTATACAAACTAGGAGCCAAATTAACCTCCTTTTTATTGTGGGTTGTGCACATTGTATTCCAGCAATAAGACAGATTTTGCTATGAAGAGTGGTGCTGTTATTGTAGGGGGATGAAATCTTCTCGCTGTAGTTCTGATTCTCATTTCCTTAATAACTAATGATTCTTTATCATTATTTATTAGTCATTAGGAAAATGAAAATAAAAACTTGTGGGATGGGGTTTAGCTCAGCAGCATAAGCACCTGCCTGGCAAGTGCGAGTCCCTGAGTTCGATCCCTGGTACCCCCCCCAAAAAAAGAAAAAAATAAAAATGTATTTATTAATGATAAATAATAATGATATGTAGTATATAGTGCTCATTTTCTTTTTGGTTATTCCTATGACTTCCTTGGAGAAGTACCTATCTATTCAAATTTATGTCCATTTTTAAATTGGGTTGGGTATATGTAAGAGTTCTTTATATATTGTTGATATAAGTTCTTTTTTTAAATTAGATATATGATCTACAACTATTTTCTCCCATTCTGTGTGTTGCTTTTTCCGTTTTGTTTTGTTTTTGTTTGTTTGTTTGAGACAGGATATTGATATGTAGCTCAGGCTGGTCCTGAGTTCATTAGATAGCCCAGGTTGGCCTCAAACTCAAGGTGCTACTTCTGCCTCAGTCTCCTGAGTGCTGGAATTATAGTGTGCACCACCACACCTGCTGCTTTTTCCTCTCTTGACAGTGTCATTTGTGGATACTTTAACCTTTCTTCATGGCTATCTGTCATATAAATTGAATAGATATAATCTGAAAGAATATCTTTGCATTTAATGGAGTACCTTAAATTATCCATATTTATAATTTTCAACAGAATTGGAGGAGGGTGTAACAGAGAATTAAACCTAGGCCTTTGTGCTAAGTAACATTCCTAGCCTCTTTTTTTGAGACAAAGTCTCTCAGTCACCAAGGCTATGCTTGACTATCTGATCCTCCTGACTCAGCCTCCCAAAAGGCTTATAGGTATGAACCACCACACGTGGTGATTTACAAACAGAATTAACTGGTCTTGTTTATTCATTCACCCATTCAATTTACTTATATTTGTTTTTTTGAGACAGGGTCTCACCATGTACTTCAGGATGGTCTCCAACATACAGTGATCCTCCTCTTGCCTCATCCTCCCAAGTGCTGAGATTACAGGTATGTGCTACCACACCTGGTGTCACTTGTATTAAAGTGTTTTATAATTTATGACTGTGTATGTATGTGTTAATTCCTTCTGTTTGTGGTTTTTTGTTTTTTTTTTTTGGTCTTTTTGTTTTTATCGGTACCAGGGATCGAACTCACGACTGCCTGCTTGCAAGGCAGGCACTTACGCCACTGAGCTAAACCCCCAGCCCCGTTTTTTTTTTTTTTTTTTTTTTTAATCTTTTTGTATACAGACTTTGTGGTGGTTTTCTTCTTTTTCTTTTCTCTCTTTAGTGTTCTAGAAAATATGTTCTGCTTCAAATTTTTTTGTATTTGCATTTTTAACCTATCTAAATATTGGTTAACAGTAAAATAATCACTGCTTTATCTTAGGATTTTGTTTGTAGAGACAATACCTTCTTGTACTATATGAAGGAAATCAGCAGTTTCTCAAAACTTTACTTGGATTTTTCAGCAGTAATTGTCAGAGGTATTTGTGTCTTCTAGTTGAGTCTTTCATAGATCCCATTATCATTCTTCTTAGTAGCAGCACTTTTTAAATTTTAATTGTATTATTTATTTGTTTTTTCAAGAAGGTTTTAGCTGTATATTTCAGATAAGCTTTGAACTCATTATGGAACCCAGGGTGGCCTCAAACTTATGGTAATCCTGCCTCAGCCTGCTGAGCGCTATGGTTACAGGACTGTACCACTACACCCAGCACAGCACAGTTTTAGAAAAGAAGACATGCTCAGATTTCATATTTATCAATGATGTGAGATAATGGCTGCCTGTTAGGCACATCTGAAACAAAAAGCCTTCTACCATATTCTTTTAAGGAAAGGCCCTAATTATATAATGCAATTCTAGGACCTCAGAAATTGTTGGGGGAAACTCAAAATAAGACTCAAACATATTAAGAAATACTAAGAAACAGATATAGTGGTACATGTCTTTAATCCCAGCATTCAAGAGGCTAAGGCAGAAGAATTTCTTGAGCCCATGAATTTGAGATCAGCCTGAGCAACATAGTGAGCCCCCACCTCAATCAATCAATTTAATTTAAAAGTAAAAAGTACTCAAATATATTTCTTTTAAGTCTTTTATTTTTGGGGGGCTGGGGATTGAACTCACAACCTCACATTTGCCAAGCAGGCACTCATGCCACTGAGCTAAACCCACAGCCCCTATATTTCTAAATTGAAGAACAATGTTCAGTTCTCTAATGAAATGCAAGAGGTTTTATGTATTCATAATTTTATATATTTGCAACTCAAATATCTGATTATTAAACATTCACAAGTTTGTCTCACAAGGTTAATATCTTGAATGAGCTAGCATTTTGCTTTGGATGTAAATCAGTAATTTTTTTATAAAATCTTGCGTTGATTTCTTAACAGACAAAAACATTATCTTTTTTCCATTGTATCTGGTGAAGTAAAACATCTGATTATAGTAATAATCCTTTTTGATTTTATCTGCATAAACTGCTTTGAAAACCAGTCCCCATCTTCCATCCACGGACAAAGGTAGGGTGGAAGCACTAACTACCAAAGTGGAAAGAAGATCAACAATGACCCACACAAAGGCAAGGGCAGTTTAAAACACTGTTTCATTCTAACTTACCACATTTTCCAAAGGTGCTGCACCGAACACTTTAAAGACAGGGTTGGGTTTGGAGGGTGAGATACAGAGGACAATAGCTTGCTGTCCTACTCGAGTAGTATATTCATCTAATGTAGCTCGAAGTTTCCTGAATCAGAAAGGAAAAAAATAAAAACAATTAAGACATGCTACAGTGGCAGAAACAGGTTAAACTTATTTTAGCTTGAGACAATCTTTTTTTTTTTTTCCAAATCCACTTTATTTCATGGAGAAAAAGAAAAAGGAGGAAGAAAACTAAAACAAAATTTCAAAACACATCAATCAGGGGGCAACAAGGTACAGATCAGCTATGCATCGTGCTACCTGAAACATGAAAAGGGGCATGTGGAAGTGTGTTATCCTCTTCAGTAGAAGTATGTACACACTTTTCTCTTAAAGACCAGCGGCCACTCACTGATACAAGGGTCTCCTGCGGTTTTGCCCTAGGATGTAGTCACGATAACTTTGAATATAGCCACTATCCTCCTTCCTGATTTTACCAAGACCAACCCCTGGTACTTAATAAGGAATGCGGCTAAAATGTTCTCTCACAGACTTCATTATATAATCTCCATGTTTATGAAGTACTCAAATGATGTGCTTCTAACCTCTTTTACTGATACCATCATTGCTTATTTTTCACTGACATTTTAAAAAAGTTTTTGTGTTCAGATTTTCACTGTGCCACAACTGACAGTCGTACAGACTTATACTAATGAGGATGGAATGAGAAGACAGCAGCAACACCCCCATCTCTGAGAAGTATGTCCCAAGTCCAAAACATATACATGCCAAACATATACATGTTGGATGCCAAAACATACACGTTTTTCCCTATGGATACTGCTAATAAAGTTTTAGTTATAAGCTAGGCACAGTAGGAGATTAACAATAACTAATAATAGGAAAATTATAACAATATATATGACGTTATTTAAAGGCTATGAAGTATTTATTCTGAAAATTTTTCACTTAATATTTTTAGGCCATGTTTGACTACAGCTAACTAAAAACACAGAAGGCAAACCCAGATAAGAGATTACAACAATGCAGGAAACAGAAACACTGTTCTTCTCCAGTCACAAAAGATTATCCTCAAGTTATAAATTTCGTAATTCTTCTGGGAATACAGTCCATGCTTTAAGGTAGTAGTGAGCAAGGAACCACATATCAAACAAGAACTCTGGCAGCATTCCTTGAAGGAATGTTTTATGTTCATTGTCTCCAATTCCTCTTCTCAATTCTCTCTTGAAGACACTCTACTCCTTTCACCTTTACCATTCCCTAGAAAACTGTTTTCAAGTTTAATCATGACCTATATGTTGCAAAATGTAATGGTCAATGTGCACCTTATTCAAGCTGTAAGCAGTGTTCGACAGGACTGACCACACACCTTCCCTGAAACACTCTTCGCATTTGGTTTCTAAGACACTACACTCTTGGTTCTTCTCTAGGCCCACTGGTTGCTTCTGAGATTCCTTTGATAGTTTCTTTCATCTCTCCACCATCAAAAGGACAGAGCTGTTCAGGCCTACACAATACTCCTTAGATGAATTCATCTAGTCCCACAGCTTTAAATGCTGTATGAGCCATATACTTATAATAGTTTCAGTCAAGAATTCTTTTTTGACTTCCAGACTCATTTATCCAGCTTATTCTGCATTGCCACTTAATGGTTAAGAGGTATCACAAACTTAAAACACCCCAAAATGAAGTACTGATTCTGCCTCTACCCTCTCTCATACCTACTCTTTCTCTAGCAAACACAATCTCTAGCCTTCCAGTAAACTCTGACCAAAAATCTTAAGGTTACCCCTTTTTTTTTTCTCATGCTCCATATCCAATTCATCAAGAAATCACATTAAGTTGATGTCTGAAATATATCCAGAATGTGATCACTTCTTACTACTTCTGTTGTTAACAATTGGTTTTAAGACATATACTGTTTCTGGCCCGAAGTACTATCTAATTCCTCTATTTCCATTCTTGTACAGCCAGAGCCTATTCTCAATTCATTAGCCTGAGTGATTCAGATTTTTTTCTTATAGTCTTGAGATGGAACCTAGCACTTTGTGCATGGTAAGCAAGGGCTCTACCACTGAGCTACACACCGAACCCCTGAGTGGTTCTTTAAATACTTGTATCAGATTATATGATCACTCTGGTCAAAAGCATTCACTTGCTTTCTACCTTACTCACAGCAAGAGTCAGACCCCTGACATCAGAGGATAGGATCAATTAATGATCCTCTATTGTTCTGACTACATCTTCTCTCATGCTCTCTTGTGGTGGTTAATTGACCAGCTGTCAACATGAGTGGAGAATACTCAGCTGACATGAGCTAGCAGTGTTCTGGGAATGGAAGATCCACTTAAGGAAGACTATTGTTGGAACAGTATAAAACATGCATGGGAGGGAAGGATTTCATCTGATTTTCCTTGGAAGAGCTTCTTTCTTTGAAAGAGCTTTGGCTGTTTTCTTCCTTTGGAGGAGCTCCGGTCCTCACCATTGCCAAGGATGGCTGCTGTTCTCTTTGGAGGAGCTCCAGTCTTCACCTTTGCTTTGGAGGTCACCTCTTGGCTTTTCACACATATTCTTCAACTTTCAGCACTGGGCTTTTTGGCCTGTTGGCACAGATTCTCTAGCCTCCAACATTGCCCTTGGGCTTTCTGATGCAGACCCTCCAGTGGCAGAATCCTCTGCCTCCTGATAGAACTTGTATGGAACACTGTTGTGGGCTCCAGGCCTTCAACTGGATTCTTCAGATATCTAATGTGAGGAGTGGTATCTTGTGATCTACTTTTGACTCTGTGGGTGGATACAGTCAGCTAATTTTATAAACTTCTGTGTCCTACATTAAATGTTTCTATTGCAAATACTGAGGACAACAATTCTCTAACGTGACTACCATATACCAACTGTAGAGCCTGGGCTTTTAATGTTCTCACTCCCTGCAATGTTCTTCCTCTCGGCATCCATATGGTCACTGCCACAATTACTTTTCTCATTGCTGAGGTAAAATATCCAGCATCCAAAGTTAAGGGAAGAAAGGTTTATTCAGCTCAGTTTGCAGAAGTTTCAGTTCAGGGTTGGCTAGCTCCAAAGCAGGGTGGCATGGCAGAGAGGCATCACAAAAGAGAACAGTTCACAACAGGCAGAAGAAGGCAAAGTAGCAAAGAAGCTGCAAGTGACAACAGCAGCCATCTTTCTGTCCTTTGAAGTCTCTCCATGCTACACGTTGGTAACACTTACATCCAGGATGGACCTTCCCAGGTCCACACCCAGAACTATGCCAAACCAATCAGTAGAATAATTTAGTAATCACACACCCTTAATCCCAGCATTACACTCTAGATCCAACCACCTCTGAAAAGCCCCACTTATGATGAATGAAGCTTTGGGAGGATATCTAGACACAAGCCATAACATTCTGTCCCTGTTCTCCTCCACAGACTAGACATCTCTTTATGCAATACAGATTTAGCCCATCACCAAGAGTTGCCAATGTCCTAACAGCTTCAGTTATTGCTTAAAAGTCCAAATCTAAAGTCTCTGCGATTCAAGGTAAATTCTTAGCTGGGAGCCCCTGTACAAACGAAAAAAAAGTTAAATACTTCCAATGTACTATGGCACACGATAAACATGACCAAAATGTATGTAGACAAACTTTCTGCCAAGCCATACTGTCCTGGAGTCTAACAATCAGTGTAATCTTTCTTCCCAGTAGAAACCAGTGTTTACCAGCAGCATTCTATCAGCATTCTGGTCTTCTGAGCTCTGACCAGAATCTCCCATCCCATGAGGTACAGCTTAAGGAATTCTAGGGCTGCTTCTTCAGGCAGCATCTTTAAACCTTTCTGGTACTCAAATCAAGGGTGGGCCTTCCCATTATACACACACCCCAAACTAAACTAAACCAGCTGGTAGACTAATTTAGTATTCACACTCTTAATCTCAGCATCATACACTCTAGATTTAGCCACCTCTGTAAAGTCCCACCTATGACCACAGGAGGCTTTGGGGGGGACATCTAGACACATGCCATAACAGTCATTCCTTCAGGTCTTTATTCAAGGTTGCCTTATCAAAAAGGATTTCCAAGACTATCCCTATTAAGAAACTACTACATGCGTTCACCTCCTGATTTTCATGCTTTCCTATTCCATTTTATTTTTTTCTATAATATTTATCATCTGACACAGCAGATGTCTGCTTTCTTCAACCCTTTCTCAGAAAATAAACTCTTTCATGGAATTTGCTGTTCCGCTATGTTACCAATGTCTAGAATAACACCTGGTACACAGCATGTATAGAAATTTTCTTCAAACAAGTTAGTGATATTATTCATCTGCTAAATCATATTTCTAGATTTTCTTCTATTTAATTTTGTTAAGAATAGAGTCTAACTCTGTAATAGAAGACTCCAGCCTGGTGTTTTTGAAGAATCTAACAATATATATTCAATGAAGCATTTGAGGAATGCTAACACTACAGATAAGGAAGCCCTCACCGAAGCAACCGTGTTTGCTGCCTCTTCCGGATAGATGGATTAGACTCAAACACATGAGGCCGTTTCCGTTTCTTTCCTGTTGCCACAGCAGCCGCAGCAGCCATTCCCACAGGACCTGAAATAAGTATGTGCTGAGATTAGGCAGAAGCCTGCAACTGCACCAGACAGAACACAAAGACATTTAAAAGGTAGCTTTTCTTTTTGAGTATGCTGTCAGTGAATACACATGGTTTCATTTGTATCATGTTGTGATTTACCAATAAAACTTAGGCATTCTTTTTAAAAAGCAAATGATTTACACTTCCCCACCACACACCAGCTTGCATTTTGTATAATGCTGCTGTTCTGTTTTGCCAGCATGCCCATACTGTTATGGCAATATTCTTATAGGTGCTAGGAACAATTGCAGCATTCAGAAAAAAGCTTGCCAAAACTGAAACAAGTTACTGGTTTCAAATTCGTTTCCATTCTTGAGCCCCTCTTTCCCATTACTCCAAGACAGTGCCAGTTAAGACACTCAAAGATAACCAGTCACTCTTGGAACTCCAACAATACTTGCAAGAGGGGTATCTAAAAGAATAGTATCTTAACTGGAAAACTTTTCTTGCATATCTGGGAAATGTGCCAAAAATGGAGATGCTGACCACAAAGTCAAGTTGATGAAAATGTTTTGGCAGAAAAGTGACGAAAACTTTCCTATTCTATGGAGAAAATGTTAACAAAAGTTGGATGGTTTGCCTTGAAACTAACGTACAATGACATTTTTTGAAGGGTAAATGATGGGTAAGGAACTATAATATTGACTCTGATATGTGGGATCAACATATCAAACACATTTTTTTCTTTTTTAAAAAAGGCATTTTACCTCTATGCTAAATGGTGAACCCTATAAATGGCTTAAATGATCATCGGAGGATTTCTTTGTTTTATTTATTTATTAACTTTTTGGTACCAGGGATCAAACTCATGACCAGCACTTGCCAGGCAGGTGCTTATGCCTGCTGAGCTAAATCCCCAGCCCTAAATGGCTTAAATCAAAATTAAATTTAATTGTTCCATTTATATCAGCATGTATATGCTAAGTGGTTGAATTAAACTTTCCTGTAAACCTAGATTAGCTTCTGTACATACTGATTGAAGTATTAGTCTGACTTAAATATAACCCAAAATATATGATTATTTCTTTCCCATCATAAACTGCTAATAGGGAAAAATTGATGCATTTTCCTTCCAACATTTTATAAAATTGTGCTAAGAATATACCACTTACGTATTATATATAACTGAAATGTTTTGTTTTGTTTTCCAGGGCTAAGGATTGAATCAGGGCCTTTCATATGCTGGACAAGTACTCTATCATTGAACTAGATCCCAGCCCTGAAATGATATGTTGAACTCTACATATCTCCTTCCTCTCACACCCTAGCAGCCACTGCTCTGTTCTTTGCTTCTGTGAGTTTGACTATTTACACACTTCAACTAAGCAGATTCATGAAATATTTGTGTCTGTGAGTATCTTATTTTGGTTAGCACAATGTCTGAATTTCATTCATGTGTCACATACGGCAAAACTTCCTTTTTTTTTTTTTTTTTTTTTGCAGTACCAGGGATTGAACTCATGACCTCAAGCTTGCCAGGCAGACACTTATGCCACTGAGCTAAATCCCCAGCCCAAAATTTCCCTTTCATGGCAATCCTCTTGCCTCCGCCTCCCAAGAGCTGGAATTATGAGCATGTACCATTATATCTGGTTTGATTTTTTAAACATATAATATGTGTTTATGAATCCCAACCTTCTACAAAGATATACCCACAGAAAGTTATTTCATGCCCTTTTCCAGTCAATTATCATTCTTACCTCCCAAAGGAATACTATTTTTATTTTTTTCATTTTCTGCTAAGTCTTCCTACTCTAGAATTTCAAATAAACAGAATTACATTTTATATATTATTTTCAGTAGGGTTTCTTTCACTTAGAATAATATTTTTAAATTTATCCATGTTGTTCTATTGATAGTCCATTGTACAGACAAAACAACTTGCTTATTCATTATCTTATTGATGAACAATTGGGCTATTTCTAGGTTGAGATTATTATGAACAAAGCTGCCTAATTTTATCAATTATAAATTCAACACGATTCAAATGAAACTTTTAATAAGGGTTTCTGTGAACTTGATAAGGTGATCTTAACATTTAAAGGGAAATGTAATGGCCAAGAACAAATAGAACAACTTAGAAAACACTAAGAACCAGAAGAGGAGGAACACTCATCCAACCACATATTAAATAATCACTATAAAGCTATAATCATTTTTAAAAGTGTGGAACTGGATCATGAATAAATAATTAAACCAATACAACTAAATTGCAAAGTTCATAATCACCTTTTTGTATCAGTAGATGGAGGTGGAAAATAACAGATCAAACATCAAAAATATGTTATGGACTTTCCACACGGAAAAATACTCTAGCTCAGAGAAATGCAAACTAAGTTTGCATTGAGATTACTTCATCTCATCCAGATGGACAAAAATGAAGAAGACAGATACAAATGTGTGGATGAAAAACAGCAGGCATTCTAGTATACTGTTTGCAGGAAGGTAAATTCATACATACATACATACAGTAAATTCATACTAAATACTTGGCAATATTTAGTAAAGATGAAAATGTGCCTGTCTCTGGCCCTTTAATTCCCTTGCTGTATGCACCCTCAAGTAGTGTTCACAAACACCAAACTGTGACTTTTTGGTGATTCATGAGCAGTGTTTTTCTAATAAAATAGAATAAACTAGGCTATATCACAGAGTACATCTCCTAAAAAAAGGAGTAGATATTATTGTAGTTATATGTGCATTTATTTATTCTGGGTCACAGAAAATTCACACATGTAGACCAGAAAATATGCAAAATAATTATTATCTGCAGCAACTTTAGCAGCAAACAATGCTATCTATCAAAAAAGATATTCAGATAATGAATGCAATACTAAATAACAGCTAAAATTAAAATACATCAATTTTTTTTTTTTTTGTCTTTTTGCTTTTTATCGATACCAGGGATCAAACTCATGACTGCCTGCTTGCAAGGCAGGCGCTTATGCCGCTGACCTAAATCCCCAGCCCCAAAATACATCAATATTATTAACATGGATAAATCTTAGAAAAATGCTATATGAAAGAAACATGTCACAGAAATGCAGGATTAGAGTGACAACATTAAAATGTAAAAGGTGAAAAACAATGCTAAACATGTTTAATGATATATGCAACCACAGGGGGGGAAATATATATACACACACACACATGTATGTATATATGTATGTATATATAAAGAAGTGCAAGAGAATGATAAGGACTAAATCCAAATCTTGGACCACGGATATAGCTCAGTGGCACAGCACCTGCCTGGCAAGTGCAAGGTCCTAAGTTTGATTTCCAGTAAAAGGAGAGCGGGAAAAAAATCCAACACTTTTCCTTCAGTGGAGGGAAACGTACAAGATTAGAAAGAATAACAGCACATTGGAAGTTTCAACCACATTAGTAATTTTTGTTTCTTAAAACAAACCAAGCTTGAGATAATATGTCAAAACAATGGTAATAACTGACAAAGCCATGTATGTCTGTCACGTCAGTCTTCATATTTTTTATATTCAAATAGTCAAGTATTTTCTACTTTTGGACAACTTACCAAAACATTACTTTTAAAGTACTAATTGTAACTATGGACCATGTGAATTTTTTCTGCATTTCTTTATTATCCTATCCTTTCTCACTTCAAAAAAAATAAAGGTCTAAATTCAATTTTGCTTAAGAAGTCTCCTAAATTCACATCAATAATTGATGTCAAGTAGTTTGACTATTTTGCAACACTGTTTATTGTACTTGTGGACTGCATTTCATTGTGTTACTTTTAAATCTTTTACTATATCTACTCCCCCACCGATGGACTGAAAAAATCCTTCAGGAGCAAGCTCTTGGCTGTCTTGTTCATAGAATTTATATCCAGTATTACAAACCCTTGATAGCTGTTGAGTAATGAAATAGTCATTTCTACCAGTTGAGTGTCAGTTTTCACTTCAGGTAAATAAAAATGTTAGGCTGAAGTCTTTCCCTGATCTTTTTTTCTTTTTCTTTTCCTTTTTTTTCCCCAGCAGGGGTTAGGAGGTGCTGGGGAATGAAACCTAGGGCCTTATGCATACTAGGCAGCCACTATACCACTTAGCTGTAATCCCAGCTATCTCCTAACCTTAACACTGAGACAACACAGTACAGTAACACTGCAAATCCATCTCAAAACCATTTTCCTTCATAGGAAAGATCTGGATTTATTATGTTAGGGTGCCCTCTTCTGGGAAATGTAAAGAATTTCACAAAATCATGTAAAAAATACTTCATGTGTTTTGCCACTGTGCTTTTTTAAAAATTTGGTAGCACAGGGATAGAACCCAGGAACCCACATATGCTAGGCAAGCACTCTACCACCAGAGTTAGCATTCCAGAAACTACACTGTGGATGATAACTCATAGTAATAAGATTATTCTTCACAGCTGTCTTCTTCCCCTTAAATATAGCACATATATTTAAAATGTAGCAGGGTGCAAAATATAGCTCAGCAGAACAGCGCCTGCCTAGCAAGTGCAAGGTCATGAGTTTGACTCCTGTTACCAAAATAATAATAATAATAATAATAATAATAATAATAATAATAATAAAATAAAGCATGTTGGCCATTCTTCCAGCCTAGCTTTTTCTAAATATTCCTTATACAACACTAGACCCACCCAGGCACAGTTTACATGAAGTCTTCTCATCATGATGCTAAATATATAACGTAAATAGAATGATTTAAAATGTAGCTCAGCATAAGTCATTTTGCTCAAAACTTAAAATTGGGTTAAGATAATTTGAGATTGCTAGTACCCTCAGGCATCTGGCAAAGCAAACAAAATTATCTCTAGATGAAAATGACATTATGGTAGGTCCAAAATTCTTTCCATAAATCACTTTTCAAACACATGATCCAGTATTCATACAACCAATCAATGAAAAAAAGAGGGGAGGGGAGAAGAGAGAAAATGGAGGAGTGGGGGAGGGAAGTAGTTCCAAGTCAAGCATTACCTGCAGCAGCCAGATGGGCTGTTACCTCATCAGCTGCAGTGGAGTTGAGTATATCTGAATCATCATAGGAGGTGTCCTCAGGGGAAGAAGGAGAGTCTTCATCAGCGCTTAGCATGCTATGCTCAGTGTAAGTGGCCACATGAACCTGCTGTACTTGCTGGGCTACTGCATGGGCTTCTATGGTCGCCATGTGTTCAGTTTGGGTCACTCCGTGTTCCTCCATGAAGATCCACTGCCAGGGGAAAAAAGGAAAAGAAAAGGACTCAGTTGGTAATGTAACATAATACTAAACCAAGAGGTATTTTCTTCAACAGCAGAGAAATTCTGACAAGCTCCTGATCTTACCCCCTTATCTCACCACACCCATGGAAAACAGAAAATATCATTCAAATATGACATAAAAACGATGAGACATTTTCCTGATGTAAAATCATTTTGATGGAAATCCGCTCCAGTCAGATCACAGAACAATAAATTCCCTTGATACATATAGCAACAAAAAGATATTTAAATATAACAATGAAAGATACTTAAAGTATCTTTACCAGTGACTAGGAGTTGACATTGTGGAGACAAAAACACTTAGTAAATAAATTAAATACTTAACATTTTCTTTGTATCTCAAAGATAAATGACAGCTAAAGGTTTTTACCCCAAAATACAATTATTCAAATTAATTTTTCTGCCTACAAAACTGCGCTTCTTGCAAATCCTAAAATGATGCAGTAATTTGTAAAGTAGTAAGTTTGCTCTCCTGCCACACTTTTAAATTCCTTCCCTTCTATAAAAGTTATTATTCTTAAAAAAATGTACATGTTCTACATACTGTTTGTCTATAACACATCTGGACATTTTTGACATGTTAAAATATACATGGCAGGTCCTTTTTAAGTAAGTAAAGAAAACTTACTGTATGGATATATCATGATTTATGTAACCAATCACCTACTGATGAAGGCTGCTTCCAAATGCTGTTAAAAATATCAGCGCAGTAAACATTCTTGTATACAAAGTTTTGTATACTGATTCTTCAAAAAATTTAAAGTAGAACTACCATATGATCTATCAATTCTACTTCTGGTACTTACCCAGAAGAACTGAAAGCAGGATCTCAAAGAGATATTTGTATACTCATGTTCATAGCAGCATAATTCACAATAGCCAAAAGGTGGAAGCTACCAAGTGTCCATCAATGGGTGAATGGGAAACAAAATGTGGTGTATATATACCACATATTATTCGGCCTTAAAAAGGAAAAAAATGCAAATTAGGAATAAAGGGGAATGTCTTTAACTTGACAACATCTACAAAAGACTTACACCTAACATTATACTTAATGGTGACAAATTTTTTTCCCACTAAAATCAGGAACAAGAGAAAGATGTTTCTTCTCACCACTTCCTTTCAACATTGATCTGGCAGCCCTATCTAGTGCAATGAAAGAAAGAGAGAGAGAGAGAGAGAGAGAGAGAGAGAGAGAGAGAGAGAGAAAGAGAGAAAGAAAGAAAGAAAGAAAGAAAGAAAGAAAGAAAGAAAGAAAGAAAAAGGAAGGGGAAGGAGGAGGGGAGGGGGAAGGGAAGGGGATGGGGAAGGGAAGGGAAGGGAAGGGAAGGGAAGGAAAAAAGAAAAGAGGAGAAACAAATGGCATCTTGATTGGGAAGGAAGAAACTGAACTATCTTTGATAATAGACGACATGAATACCTTTTTAAAAAATCTGTAAGAATAAAAATATGGGGGCTGGGGATTTAGCTCAGCGGCATAAGCGCCTGCCTTGTAAGCAGGCAGTCGTGAGTTCGATCCCTGGTACCAATAAAAAAAAAAAAAAAAGACAAAAAAAAAAAAATCTGTAAGAACCAACAAAGAACTCCTGGAACCAAAAGCAATTACAGTAAAGTTGTATGATACAAGGTAAACATACAAAAGTCAGTGTCTTTGTGTGTATCAGCAAAGAAAAGCAGAATTTAATATCAAAATAACATGATTTACATCACCACTCCCAAAAAGTGAAACACTAAGATAATTCTAACAAAATATGAAAAACATGAGATAAATTATAAAGCTCTTATTAAAACAGATAAAATATAAAACTCTTATTTAAACAAAATATTAAACAGATATTTTATATTTATGGATAGGAAGACTAAATACTGTCAACATGTCAGTTCTTTTATCTTCTCCAGATTCAACATAATCCCAATGAAAATCTCAATAAAGTTATCTTGTGGATATCAACAAACTGATAAAGTTTATGAGGAAAGGCAACAGACTCAGAATAGTCAAGAGAATACTGAAGAATAATGTAAGAGGATTGACACAAGCTGATTTCAAGACTTTGAAACCTACAGTAATCAGGACAGTATGGTATTCACAAAATAACTAAGTCAATGCAACAGGACAGAGAACCTAGAAATAGATCCATTTAAATATAGTCAATTGATTTTTGACAAAAGAACAAAGTCAACATGAAAGCTTGGCAAATATAGTCTTTTTTGAAATGTGTGCTAGAACCAGTGTATATCCACAATTAAAAAAAAAAAGCTAGACATACTGTATGGTTCAGTTCTAAAACGTAGTCAAAATCTCATGCATTTGGAGGTAGGGTTTTTGGAAAGTGACCAGATTATGGGAACGCTGTATTCATTAGTGGGTTATCCATTGATGAGTTCTTCCCAGGCCTGATTAGAGGTGCATTGGGGAAGCATATGCTTTTAGAAGGGATATATCTATTTATGGTTTTTGCTTTCTCCTTGTCTATCCTGTCTGTCTGTCTGTCTGTCTGTCTCTTACCCCTCCTTCCCCCCCCTTCTCCTTCCCCTCTGCCTCTCTCCCCTTCCTGGCTGTGATAGATTGAGCCGCTTTCCTCTGCCATGCCCTTTCACCACGCTATTTCTGTCTTAGACCACCTTAGCCACCTGTGGACTGAACTCTCTGAAACTATTAAGTCAAATCTCTTCTCTTTTTAATTTTCAGGTGTTGAGCATTTTGATCCATTAACAGGAAAAGGTTAATACACAGGCCCTCCTTTGAGGGGATGGAATACTGGTATTTTCCACAGGCTGACCTTTGAACTCCTAGGCTTAAGTGATCCTACTGTTTTAGCCTTTCAGTAGCTGTGACTAGATAGGCACACATGCAACTCTGCCATGGTCAGATCTTGTATTCTTCACAAAAGTAAACTCAAAATGAGGGGCTGGAGATTTAGCTCAGCGGCATAAGCACCTGCCTTGCAAGCAGGCAGTCGTGAGTTCCATCCCCGGTACCGATAAAAAGGAAAAAGATTAAAAAAAAAAAAAAAAAAAAAAAAAAAAGTAAACTCAAAATGAATGATATAGCTAAATGTGAAGCGCAAATCAATAAAAATCCTAGAAGATAACATGGGAAAAAAATCTACAGAGAACATTTGGTATAGCAATAACTTTTAAATAAATGCCAAAGCAAGATTCATAAAAGAAAGAATAAGCTGGACTTAATTAAATAAAGATCATTATTCTGTGAAAAATACTAACAGGAGAATGAGACACAAGCCCACAGACTTAGGGAAAATATTAGCAAAAAAGAAATATCTAGTAAAGGACTGTTACCTAAAATAAAGAATTCTTAAAACTCAACAATAAAAAAATGAATCAACCCAGTTTAAAAGTGGACAAAAGACTTGAAGAGATATATCACTAAAGAAGGTACACTGACATAAATATCTAAAAAATGTTGACCACATGCCATTGTAAAATGCAAATCAAAACTATAAGAAGACAACACTATACCCTGTAAGAATGGGTAAAATTCAACAAGGCAAATATACAAAAAGCACTGGCAACATCAAATGCTATCACAAATGTGTAATAGGAACAGAACTGTTTGCAGTATCATTGTTGGAATTCCACTCTACAAGCTTTAATTTTGTGACTTGAACAATTATTTCTAAGATGGCAATATGTAATCCATTAACTAGTGATTTCCTACTGCGCATTTTTTCCTTCTGTAAATCTGTATAACTTGTACCCCTTCACTGTTTTTTTTTTCTTTTCTCCTTAAATAAAAAAAAAAATGTGTAATAGGTACTTTCGCTCATTGCACAGTCACTTTCAAAGACAATTTGGCAATTTCTTTAAAAACTGAATATACTCAATATATGATCCTCAGTTATTCTCATTGGTATTTACCTGGAGAATTTTAAATTTTAAGTCTATATGAAAATCTGCACACTGGTGTTTTTAGATCTTTATTTGCAATTGCTAAAACTTGGAAGTGACCAAGATGTCTTCCAATAAACAGACAGATACAAAAGTGTTGTTCATGCAGAAAATGAAATACTACTCAGCACTAAAAAATGACCTATTAAGCCATGAAAAGACATAGGAGAACCTTTTAAATGACTTACTACATAAAAGAAGCAAATATGAAAATGTTACATACTATATGATTTCAACTACATGACCAAGAAAAGGCAAAACTATGGAGACAGTAAAGGATCAGTGATTTACAGGTTGGAGAAAAGAGAAATAAACAGGTAGCATACTAGAGTTTTCAGGGCAGTGAAATTACAGTGTACAATATTACAATGGTGAATGTGACATTATACATTTGTTCAAATATACAGAATATATAACATCAACAGGGAACTCTCATATAAACTACAGCCTTTAGATGAAAATGACACATGAATGTAGACTCAACTATTAGAAAAAATGTACTACTTGGGTGTAGGATGTTGACAGAGAGGGAAGCAGTGTGTGTATAAGAGAGTTGGGGGTATTGAGAAATCTGTACCTTTACTCAACTCTGCTATAAACTTGAAACTGCTCTAAAATACAGTCTTTTTGAAACTAGCTTCTAAAAAAGGAAATTCTGATACATGCTACAATGTGAATGAGTCAGAGATATTTTGTTCACGGAAACAAGTCAGTCACAAAGAGAAATACTGTATGATTCCACTTATATGAGGCAGTTAGAGCAATCAAAATCATAGCAACAGAAAGAAAAGTAGTTGCCTAAGGCTGAGGAGAAAGGTGAAAGAGGGGCTGTCTTATGGATAGTTTCAGTTTTATAATATGAAGAGTTCTACAGAACTCACGTACAATATAAATATACTCAATATCATTGAACCATATGCCTAAAAATGGTTAAGATAGTAAATCTTACACTTTATCACAACTTACAATTTTAAAAAATCCCTTATAGCATTCTATACAAAGAATAAATGACTAATCTTGAAGAACAAACCTAGTGTTTCTTATGTTTATAAAAAACTTTTATGTACTACTTGATAGTAGCTTTAAGAATAAATTTTTGAACATTAAATACTGGCTTGAAAGGATATATGTATTTTAAATTTTGATCCATATTGAAAAACTGAGTGTTTAACTTGTACATTAATATCTCTATTAGTATAAATTCACAGAAACATACAAAAATTTGAAATTTGACTATAATAATATATAGCACTACATATCTAAAGTTTACCAAAATGATAACCATATAGATACAGAAATAAGATTTTTATGGCTACATGTAAAAAGAACATAGTTTTCTATGCAAAAGTCTTATTTTTACTCTGCTCTATTTAAAAAGTCTCATTTTCCATTTTGAGGATTTCTAAAACCCTTTATACTGCTGAGTTACTGCTTCCTTAAGCCCCATCTTGCTGACTTTCCTTTTTAGATCAATTGTTTCCATGTAGGTGATCAAATTCTTTGCTTTAATCTGAGGCATTTGATTCTATTTTACTTTCCTGTGAAATTTCCAATCTTTGTCTTGCTCTACCTTGTAACTGTTTGTCACTCTCATACCATTAAACATATGACAACTCATCCTTCTAACCCAGTAACTATGTACTTTGGGATTACTCAATTAGCTCAAGGAATATTCTATATTTCAAAATAAGATTCACTTTAACTACAAAATAAAACAACCACAAGGTCCCAAATCCAAAAAGATTAAGAACCCCTCTGCCATGTATCATACAAACTTACTTTCCTGCTTCAGGTCATCTCCCTAGCCCTGTGTCTCTGAGGGGCAAAATCCTTTCATAAAAAACAAATACTCTTTCTCCAAATGGATTTCTTAAAAGGAACTTGTTAAAAAGAGGATGTATTTAATAGAGACTTTAAAAAGGAAAAGAAATGCTGGAATTTTAGCTCAGCAGACAGAAGTTCCTGCTTGGCAGGCATGAAGTTCTGAGTTCAATCCCCAGTACCAAAAAAAAGGAAAAGGATAAGAAAACCTAAATGTACATGAGAATTTTTT